AATTCTGGTTGCTGGGATACAGCAGTGGACGAAGTGACAAAAATCCTCACGGTGTGAGCTTGTGTCTGAGGAGAGAAGACAGATGGTAACAAAATAAGTAAGAAAACCCCAGAGTGCCTGATATGGTGATAAGCGTCAGGGAGAACATGAGCAGGAGTGAGGGCCAAGGGGACAGAAAGGGACAGAAGTGCTATTTGAGACTGGGTGGTGTGGTGAAGTATCATTTGAACAAAGAATCCTGTAGGGGCTTTACCTTTCCATGCGTGGCTTTTTTTCTGTTAGGCCAAATACCAGCAGAAAGTATACTCAGGATTACCTCTGAAGTCTTTTGAGAACTTAGAAGGGAAAGCCAGCTTGCCAAAATGACGAGAAGGCAGAGCAGCCCTGCTCTGGTGTCCTGATACCAGTTAGCCTGTGCGGGGGTGGCACAGCCACAAGGCCAGCTTCCATGGAAAGAGGAACTGTACTTGGTGTCACGTTGTGCACACACTGAGCGTTCAATAAATGATGCTGTTCACTGAGGGAAGTTCCAGGGTCTTGGATCAAATGGAAAAATAATGTTTTTGACAAAGATAATTTCTTCATGTTTTTGTCTCTCTTCCAGAGGTTTATGAGTAGCTTTAGCCAGATGAGGCATCACAAATAGTTTCTGGAAATTTATCAAGCCATGTCTAGTCACAGGATCATCCTTAAATTCTCCCATCATCTATGTAAATACCTTTAACTGATCTATCTTTACTTACCATCATTCTCAAATAAATACTCAGTGCCAGCGGGCTGCCTGTCTTCTTTGATCATGTCCCTTGACTCTAAGAGCACACATCTGGCTGGGCTCTGTGGCTCAGGCCTGTAATCCTAGCACCCTGGGAGGCCAAAGAGAGTGGGTGGATTGACTGATCTTAGGAGTTTGAGACCAGCCTGAGCTACCGTGAGACTCCATCTCTGAAAATAGCTGGGTTTGGGTGGCACCTGTGGCTCGGGGAGTAGGGTGCCGGCCCCACATATCTGGGGTTGTGGGTTCAAGCCTGGCCCCAGCCAAAACAGCAAAAAGAAAAAAAAAATAGCTGGGTGTTGTGGTGGGCACTTGTAGTCCCAGCTATTTGGGAAACTGAGAGAAAAGGATCACTTGAGACCAAGTTTCAGGTTGCTGTGAGCTATGACGCCACGGCACTCTACCCAGGGTGACGAAGTAAGACTCTGTTTCAAAAACAGGAAATATCCACCTTTACCCATAAAACACAAGTTATTTCTGTCCTTTCTCCTTTCCTTCTCTTTCTTCCAATGTCTATATTATAGGTGACATGGTGCATGGCACAGGCTCCATTTTAACCATACTAAAATTAATTATTGATGTGGGTACTGTTAGAATCAGAAAAGAACAATGTAGAATGGAAGGGTGTGAAAATCGTTATTGTTACCTATCAGGGACGATGTCGAAGTAGAATACCTTATGCGAATACCGCTGCTACCAATGATGCTACCCGCTACCTGCTGTACCCGGGAGTTTACAAGTCTCTTTACGTGTGTAACATCTCACACACTCCCCAACCCCCTGCCCCTCCAAGTGTGACCCTCACACAGCAGTACTGGCATCTCCTGGGAGCTGCTAGCAGTGCAGACTCTCCTGCTCTGCCCAAGCCTCCTGAACCAGACTGCATTTAAACAAAATCTTCAGGGGCTTTGTGCACTCACTGAAGTTTGAGAATCTCTGCTTTAAATAATCCAATGAAGCAATTATAAGTTCCCTTCCCCATTTTACAGATTAAAAAACAAATCTGGGTTCCAGAGATGGTCAATTAGCTAGTAGATAATGGGATTTGAGGTCAAAGACCAATATTCTCTTTATTACTCTATGCCCCTTCTTAGAATGCTCTTGGTAAAACCCACTGCATACCTCTTTTGGGGTCTGATGTCACGCAGCCCAGCACTTCAGAAGAAGCATCTGTACAATAATGATAGCCTGATATTATTCCCTGGGGGTAACAAATAAATGCTAATCTCCTGCTTGATCACATGTTCCTTATGTAGGCCACTCCTGTTGCCTGTTGCTTCAAAGGTTCAAGGTTAATTACTTGAAAGAAGTTTCATATTTAGAATTTTATCCAGTTTTCCCCAATTAGTTAGCAAAGAACATGTTCACTGGTTAACAATTTCTGAGGTTTCCATTGCAAAATTCCAATTTTCTTTTGCAAGCAGACTCTTCAGTGATATATTTGACCACCTTGGAGGCAAAGGGAAAGACAACTAACACATAGCAAGAATTTCCTTGAGCAGCAAGCTCAGGTCTTCATGTGTGTTATTCTCAGGATCTTCAGAGAGTCTATCACCACATTTCACAGATGAGGAAGCTGAAATCAAAGGTGACATATGCAGTAATGCTGGACATCAAGCCAGATTCCAAAATACCATGTTGGACTCTTCCTACAAGTAAGTCGTGCCTGAATTAGCATGGAAGGTGACCCATCATAGGAGGAAGATAGATCATTCTATCTTTTATCACCATTGTTGAGATGGCAGGTAGTAACTATCATATTTGCTAAAGGAGAAGAGTGATTACAAACGCCTCCTGGTTTTAAGGATGAAGTAACTGAAGTGAATCAAAACAGAGAAGAATCATCTACAGGGACACAAACTAAATACAGTAGAACCTCTCCAAATCGACCACCAAGGGACCATAACAAAGTGGTGGATGTAAAGAACTGGGCCTGCTGTGTTGATACATACATGTGGTGCGTGTCTGGGCTATGACAATTAGATCAACTTACGGAGGTAGTCAACGCAGGGAGGTGGACGACTAAGAACCTCCCAGAAGAGATTCAAAAATTAACAAAGAAGAGTTGCTGGATACTACACTTTGTAAAATCTGTATCAATACCCATATAAATTGGCTAAAATCCACACTTTCGTATGATGTGAGCAAGGCCTCTAAACAGGTGAGTTTTAAATTCTTCACGTTTCACAGAGAAGCAGGAAAAGGTGACCTTATTTTTTAGGAAAGGAGAGGGACGAATAGATCCCTCAAGCTGGTTGATCTGAGAAAGGCATTTCCTAGGCCAGTGTTTTCAACCTTTTTTTATCTCACAGCACACTTGAACCTATAGTTACACTTGTGTGGGTCAAATTATGTTGACCAAATAAAATAGTTAAAAAAAGAATATACTTTGCTTTGAACTTTTTTTTTGCAGTTTTTTTTTGGCTGGGGCTGGGTTTGAACCCGCCACCTCCAGCATATGGGGCCAGCACCCTACTCCTTTGAGCCACAGGTGCCACCCATGTGCTTTGAACTTCTTTTGAAAATAATTTAATTAATAATCTTTAAACATTTTCACAGCACATGTAGGATTCCGTGCCATGGCACACGCGTTGAAAATCACTGTCCTAAAATAACCAGGTGTTGTGGCAGGCGCCTGTAGTCCCAGCTACTTGAGAGGCTGAGGCAAGAGAATCGTTTAAGCCCAGGAGCTGGAGGTTGCTGTGAGCTGTGATGCCACAGCACTCTACCCAGGGCGATGTAATGAAACTGTCTCCAAAAGCAAAAGAAAGAAAATCACTGTCCTTGGCTTTCATCATGATCTGTGTTAATACACACATCCTCACAAGTGCAGCTTACTTGACTCAGTCCTATCTCGTAATACTGGACTGGATTGTCCTCTTATGTGACTCTCTGGGAATCTGCAGACAGTTCATGTGGAAATCTCTCTGCTAGTCTGAAAGAAATAAATAGAATATTATAATTGCTTAGAGTTTAATATATGCTACAACTGTTTTGCTGGCTTGGCGTTTAAGGATGCAAATGTTCCAATCTCTTCTAGAAACATGACATTATAAAAGGGACTACTGTAATTAGGAATAAAACTGTGCAGTCCTCATTAACCAGAAAAGCAGTTTCTAAACCCAGCGAGGCTCGACTTTTATTCCAAGAAAAGTCAGGAAGATGGTGCCGCAAGAGCCCAATAAAGATTTTGGGTCAACTTGTGCTCACTGGAATTGACTGGGATCCAAGTGCAATGACTTTAAAAGGCCCAGAACAACAAATACTGCTAGCAGAAGACAGCTAAATGGGAACAGGCTGAAGACTCGTGTTCAACTCCATCTTGTTTAAAGTTTCACTATTGTTCAAGTCTTGAGGGCCCAAATTCATCCAGGCTTAACGCATTGTGATAGAGTCTGTCCTATTATCCAGGGACGTTTGGTAACTGATTGTAGGGTTACTTCTCTCCTGGTCACAACACGTGACCAAAAGAACTCTTTCTTATTTGAGGCCAAGAGTGGCAAGTCCTGGTAATTCAAAATAGCTATAGAGTGTGTATAAAACCAGGCACAGACTAGTCTCAAATATGACGGGTTTTACTCTGGTTCTTGAATCTCTGCATCCATTTCTGTCCTGCCACGACTATCTATACTGGGCCCTCTCTAAGGCATTACCCAAGACTAAGCGCTAACGTGTCATAAGGCTGTATGTTTTTATAAGTGCGTAAGGGGTTACTCAAATCACAAACACAGCATGTTAGAAGTCGTTTGACTGTGAGGCAGTCTCACACACAGGAGGAAGACAAGAATATTGGGAAGGAATCTGATTTATGTATGTTTTCTGTGTATGTATTTATGAAGCACTTGGTTCTTAAAAACCAACCTCGATAGATTGTGGACAGCCCATTAACTAGCCCTCATTCTCTCTTTTAGCTAAATCACCTATGTTTCAAAACCTAATTAAGTTATGGTTCATTTACAACCAAAGGACAGGATGTAGGAACTAGCCTCTGCTCTCTTTTTTGTCACTAACCAGCTCTGTGACTCTGGGCAAATTAGCTCTCCACTGGGACTTTGTTACTTTTGAACAGTAATAGCTCTATTTAATGAACACTTTCTCTGCACTAGGAGCTAGGCTAAGCACTTTAACTAGATTATCTCATTTAAATCTCACAGTAATCCCATGAGTAGGTTCTATCAAAATCTCCATTTTGCAGATAAGGAAAACTGAGGCATAGAAAGGCTGACTATTGGCCTTGAATCAGGGCCAGTAGTTTGTTGAAGCTGTTAGTTTCAAACAGGAGCTTAAAGAATTATCTTTTGATGGTCTGTTGGCCATTTCAGAACTTTGGAAATATAATGGTGGATTCATTAGAAAGAAACATATGAGTGATAGATGTGGGCAAGTATTTTTTTGTAGTCTTAATACTAGGATTCCAAAGTATCCATAAAATATTATTATATTTATCTCAAGATCCCTGATTTAAGTTATGTGTTAGAATTGTAATGCTGTTAAATCTTGATTACAACCCTGCCAAATGACTGTGGGTTTTCAATCAAAATAAAAAGATGATTCTACACTGAAAAAAAAAAAAAAGAAGAAGAAGAAAAAGAAGGGCTGGGCGTGGTGGCTTACACCTATAATCCTAGCACTCTGGGAGGCGGAGGTGGGTGGATTGCCCTGAGCTCAGAGGTTCAAGACCATCCTGAGCAAGAGAGAGACCCTGTCTCTAAAAATAGTCAGGCATCATGGTAGGTACCTATAGTTCCTGCTACTCAGGAGGCTGAGGCAAGAGAATTGCTTAAGCCCAAGTGTTTGAGGTTGCTGTGAGCTAGGATGCCATAGCACTCTACAGAGGGCAACAAAGTAAGATTCTGTCTCAAAAAAAGAAGAAGAAAGGGTGGATGTCTTGTCCAAAGTGACACAACTTAAACATGAAGGAACCAGGATTTGATCAAGTTTTCTGAGTTTGTGCTCTGAACCTATAACCTACATCTCTTTGTGATTGCCCAACTACCCCTGCCCAGGGAGGTTTTCCTGCTCTATGAATTCCTAATTGTACATCGAAATGATTTGGCTTAATTCACATAGCATGTCTATGCTGCTATGTGTACTTTGATTTTTTAATTTTTGTAATTGTTAATCCTGTTTCCCCCACCAGAGTGAAATGTCTGGATAAGTTAATGGAAAGACCACTTTCTGCAGGATAACAAGTGAAACTTTCTGCCCTTTATAAATACTTCTTTTTATAAATAGAGATAATAATGCCTGCCTTATAATGTTGTTTTGATGTTCCACATACAAAAATGGCTATAAGGTGGACAGCAGTACTATATAAACAGAATTTGTTCGCTAGTATTTTAAAATATCAGCTCTTTCGGGGAAGACTATTATACCACATATCCACTATGTCATGTAAAGCTGTGAGATGCTGAAAGTGGATGTGTTGATCATTATTACTTTGAGGTTTTTCAACTCTTAAATGCATACTTATTTACCTTTGCACCATAAACTAATGGAGCAGGAAAACAGTTTAATAGTGAATGTGAAACCTTTACTGAAGACCTAAATTTGTCTTAGATGCTATCTTGTTGAATTCTCACCATTGCTCTATGAGAAAAAATGTGAGAAAACCAAGACTCAGAGATGTTAGGTCACTTCTGTAGCACACGTAGCTTTTCACTGAAAGCTAGGAGTAAAACAGAGGTTTACCTATCCCTAAAGACCATGTTTTCCACCATGTCATACTCAAGATAGAATTTTGTGCTTAGGCTCGGTGCCCGTTGCTCAGTGGTTAGGGCACTAGCCACATGAACTGGGGCTGGTGGGTTCAAACCCAGCCCAGGCCTGCTAAACAACATTGACGACAACAACAAAGAAAAAATAGCCAGGTGTTGTGGTGGGTGCCTGTAGTCTCAGCTACTTGGGAGGCTGAAGCAAGAGACTTGCTTAAGCCCAAGAGTTTGAGGTTGCTGTGAGCTGTGATACCACAGCACTCTACTGAGGGCAGCCTAGTGAGACTCTGCCTCAAAAAAAAAAACAAACAAAAAAAAGGTTTTTGTGCTTAAATATCTGTATGTTGTTCATCCACTATTTTATAAAACTGTCCAACTGAATAGTCAACATTTTCATAATATTATGATGATAGACTATTATAGCTTAAAACTTAGCATCATAAAAGCACATGTTGAAGAAAACCTTGAAATCAGCAAGTTCAACTAGCCATCCATTGCTCTTCCAGCTTCTGCTTGAACCCTCCTGTGATGTAGAACTCACTGAGTTAGAGGCAAATAATATCATCCTCAAACAATTAAAAAGTATTACCACTAAGCTATCAGGCATCTCAAACTTCACTTGTAGTTTCATAACTCTGTATATAGTTAATTAGGGAACTGGGTTTACCAGAGGAGAAAAGCACTAATACAGGTAACCTTATCTCATCAATAATTAAGCACGGATTATGTTTTAAGCATCCACTTTTTCATTACTAAGGCAAAAAAAACAAACAAACAGGTCAATGAAAACTTATCCTATCTTCTTTGGATTTTCCAAGATCACCATGTGAGAGCTTAGGGCTTCGTTTATGTTAGAAAATAATAGTATCAGGGTTTCAAGCAAGAAGTAGAAGTTACAGGGCAGTGCCTGTGGCTCAGTGGGTAGGGTGCTGGCCTCATATACCAGGGGTGGCGGGTTGGACCCAGCCCCGTCCAAATTGCAACCAAAAAATAGCCAGGTGCTGTGGCAGGCACCTGTAGTCCTAGCTACTTGAGAGGCTGAGGCAAGAGAATTGCCTAAGCCCAGGAGTTGGAGGTTACTGTGAGCTGTGACACCACAGTACTCTAATGAGGGCAATAAAGTGAGACTCTGTCTCTAAAAAAAAAAAAAGAAGTAAATGGTACAACCTAAAGGGATTCCAGATATGTTAATAAAGGGACATTTCCAAAGGTATCTGCAGACTTCAAGGAAATCAACAGAAGCACCTCGAGGCTAGCAATAGTGGAGAACCATTACTACCTATAGGCCTGTGAGGGGGAAGAAGGGGCCAGTTCCAGAGTTCCAGATGTCACTGTCCTCCTCTGCCCTAGAAAAGCTGTGGCCTGAGGTGGAGGCAAGTTGCCTGGAAGTTCAATCAGGGGAAGGGACACCCTGACCTCGCTGTCCCCACCACCCCCAGAGTTCCCACTGGTGGTTGAGTTCTTGCTGCTATAAGACAAGGTTGCTCACCAATGTAGTTCAGGAAGGTCAGATTCCTCCACGACTCGGAGCAATGTACTGAAAGGTAGAGAGTGGATCTAGAGAGGCCGATGGAGAATTGCAGCCCCACAATATTCCATGCCAGCCCTATATCCCCTGAGCCTCGTTTTTCCTTCTTATACTCTCTTGACACTCATCTCCACCACACTCTCCCATTTCCACCTATTAAATCAGCAGTAGGAATCCCAGCTACTTTCAAAAGAGTGTTGTTTGTGGAGGAAAATGATACTCCTATAGCCCTATGAGATTTTGCTGTGAGAAGATGTTAGCATGCATTTCTTGGATTGTACAAATTAATTCTAAAAGAAATTGTGTGACCTTTCTTCTGTATTCTATATTATAATTAGCAGACCAAACCTTCTAAGAAATATGTGCATGTATTAATATAAATGTTATACACATTCGCATGCATATTGAGAGGCTATTTAGTGTTCGTATGTCAAATAAACTTTTTTCATTTTCTCTGATTCTTTCTGAGATGTAACTATTCCCTGATAAAGCCTTTGTTAAGCTTTGGTAATGTAAGTCCTAATCTCTGAATTACTGAGAGATACATAATAGCCACATTATTATGAGTAATAGACACATAATAGATCATAGTATTATTAATTATTGTCTTTTTTCTTTTCTTTTTTTTTTTGGCCGGGGCTGGGTTTGAACCCACCACCTCCCGCATATGGGGCTGGTGCCCTACTCCTTTGAGCCACAGGCACTGCCCTTCCTTTTTTTTGAGACAGAGTCTCACTTTGTTGCCCTGGGTAGAGTGCTATGGCATCAAAGCTCACAGCAACCTCAGCTGGGCTCAAGCGATCCATTTACCTCAGCCTCTTGAGTAGCTGGGACTACAGGAGCTCACCACAAAACCCAGCTAATTTTTTTTTTTTTTTTTTTTTAGAGATGGGGTCTAACTGTTGCTCAGGCTGGTCTCAAACTTGTGAGCTCAAATAATCCACCTACCTTGGCCTCCAGAGTACTAGGATTATAGGCATGAGCCCTGTGCCCGGCTGGGTATTATGTCTTAAGTTTTCTTATGCTAAAAGATTCTGAGCAGGGGCAGTGCCTATGGCTCAAGTAGTAGGACGCTGGCCCCATATACTGGAGGTGGTGGGTTCAAACCCAGCCCTGGCCAAAAAACTGCAAAAAATAAAATAAAATAAAAGATTCTGAGCAAAGGATATCAGCACCAGATTTTCTAACAGGAGCTGCTTATATCATGGAAGATAAGAAGTCTGATGAATAGAATTTATTTCAGACAAACCAGGTACATTTGGAAAAAAAAGGAAACTCTTCAGTTTATTGCAGAACCTTGAGATGGAGCTGACAAAACTTGAAAGACAAGTTCAAGGAAATGTTTGCATCTATTTTACTTGGATGTTGGTGTGATAGTCTTTTCATTGATGTTTTGAGCTTGAGATAGGTTTTTGAACTCATATAAATCACATATTAGTTTACCCTAACGTGCACACACCACAGATCTGACAGTGGAACACCAATTGAAACCAACACACCTTGGTGATAAAAATGATGGATTCTTTTGCAACGTGAACAGAATGAAGGCCACATTTTGTCTTAAAATGCAGCTGAGCCATCAGCAAGTTAGGCGGTTAGGTGTTCAGGATTCCATAGTTTTCTAATGCCCATGTATTGGAAATGCAACCCTTAATGTTAGTAGTGTGACAGCTCACTGAGAACTAAGCCTTTTTAATTCACATACTCAATTTTTTTTGTTTTGTTTTATTTTAGAGATAGAGGCACATTGTTGCCCTTGGTAGAGTGCTGTGACATCACAGCTCACAGCAATCTCCAGCTCTTGGGCTTAGGCAATTCTCTTGCCTCAGCCTCCCAGGTATGGTAGCTGGGACTTACAAGCGCCCGCCACAACACCTGGCTATTTTTTGTTGTTGTTGTTGCAGTTTGGCTGGGGGCGGGGTTCGAACCCGCCACCCTCAGTATATGGGGCACCCAACCCACTGAGCCACAGGCACCGCCCCATATACTCAATTATACAAGTTTCATTGAGCCCCTTCCTTGAAGCAAGCATGTCAACTCGAGTGGCATATGTAATAGGGAACAAAACATAATCCCTCTCCTTGAAGAACTGATAGTTTAGATAGGGTGATAGCATCGCATCA